CTGGATTCATTCAGTAGTCTTACAATATATCTTACTAAACTCAATTCATATTTCCAATCTATACTTCACTGGCTGAGTTCATTTAGTAGCCTTACATTGTATCTTACTAAACTCAATTCATATTTCCAATCTATACTTCACTGGCTGAATTCATTCAGTAGCCTTACGTTATATCTTACTAAACTCAATTGTTAATCCGTCTTGGTGATTACTGGTAACATCCCCAACCTGTATCTTACTGGAATAATTCAGTATTCCTGATCTATTTCTTAGTGGATTCATTCAGTATTCCCGATCCATTCCTTACTGGACTCATTCAGGATTCCTGATCTATTCCTTAGTAGATTCATTCAGTATTCCTGGTCCATTCCTTACTGGACTGATTCGGTGTTCCTGTTTTCCTATTTACTGCAGTCATTCAGTATTCCTGATCCATTCCTTACTGGATTCATTCAGTATTCCTGATCTTCTCTTTACTGGACTTATTAAGTATTCCCGATTTTCTTCTTAATGGACTCGATCAATATTCTTAATATGTATAAACCAGTATATGATTGGCCAACTACTTTAAGAATCTAATATAAATATATTTACAATTTATAGAATATTTTACGAATCCAATATAAGCCCATTTATCATTGATCAAATACTTCAATAATCCAATATAAACCCGTTTATGATTGGCCAAATACTTTAAGAATCCAATCTAAACCAGTTTATTATTAGCCAAATACTCTAATAATCCAATATAAACCAGTTTATGATTGGCCAAATACTTTAATAATCCAATGTAAACCAGTTTATTATTAGCCAAATACTCTAATAATCCAATATAAACTAGATTATGATTGGCCAAATACTTTAAGAATCCAATATAAAACAGTTTATGATTGGCCAAATACTTTAAGAATCTAGCATAACTCATTCATATATCGAGCCAGTGGATTTCATATTATCACACAGTCACAAATAATTTCTCTCTTGATTAATCACGAAGTAATTAAACCTCATTAAACAACTTCATAATAGTAACTGTATAATTGCTGACAAAATAAGTTTACGATTCGTGTGCTTAAATCAGTAACTTTGTTTCTTAAAACATTAAAGAGTAATTCAAGTTAAGCTTTTATTTGAGTCGATTTATGTCACTAAACATGATTCACATTTTCAATTGTGAGGGCACTATAACCGTCACAGTTAATCCGTCTATTCGGTTAAGGCTCGCTCCGTAGGCGGCGGGTGTTGATGATTGGTTGCCCTTCTCCCTGGTCAGTAATTCTAGATTAGGAATGGCCGTTCAAGTTAAACTTTTCGTTTTCTCTATTGATTTTGTATAGGTAAAGTGTCCTTAGTATTTTCATTGCTTCCGAAAAAGATAAGTCTTAAATATTTTTTTTATGGGGGGCATTAGTCTGTTAATATGAACTTTGCATACACTATTTAAGTATAAAACTACATCCGCTCAATTTGTATTTATGGCAAAACTACTAAGGTTATCTGCTGCTGTCCCTAATTTTAAGCTACTGACCTTAGAGAAGACAGCCAGTCAGCAGCACCCTCCCACCATCAATGCTAAGACATTGACTATTACTTTTATAACGCATCCACAACTTAAAATACAAGCAATATTTTGCAGTGTTGCACGGATTCGAACCTGGTTCTCCAGCTCCGATATCCAGTGCTCTACCCCGCTCTCTATTCGTCTAGGGCCCTGGCATGGCCAGGTGGTTAAGGCACTCGACTTGCAATGTGAGGGTCACGGGTTCGAATCCCCGTCCCACCAAACATGCTCGCCCTTTCAGCCGTGGGGGCGTTATAATGTAACGGTCAATCCCACTATTCGTTGGTAAAAGAGTAGCCCAAGAGTTGGCGGTGGGTGGTGATGACTAGCTGCCTTCCCTCTAGTCTTACACTGCTAAATTAGGGACGGCTAGCGCAGATAGCCCTCGTGTAGCTTTGCGCGAACTTCAAAAACAAACAAATGTACCAATTGAATGGAAATGTAGATATCCAGTTTTGATGTTTGTTTTAATAACTGAACTCTAGTTGTAATCACTAAGCACTAAAACATAGATAATATTAAATTATTCATTTTTCCAAAATACCAGGCCTCAAGATATTTTAGAGGATTGCTGAACTACCAATACACGATGTTAAGGTTTATCTAGTAAGGAAGGCTATAATTAGCTACAAATCTCTTCTGCAGCTGCCTTGTATACTATGTCATTTAACGGTTTAACTGTTTATTTTAGGCCTACTTTCCGTTCTAATTGATGTGACTAGCCGAGTTTGTCAAGTTGTGCAATTTTAAGATAATTCGATAGAAAAAAATACCAAGCACTAAGACAGAATAATTTCAGTTCAACTCGTTTGTGCTGAAATATATTCTGCTTCGAAAATACTCGCCCTTTCAGCCGTGGCGGGCGTTACAATGTGACATTCAATCCCACAAACAAACAATTGTCAAGCAGGACCAGATAGTTAGGTTACTTCACTCGCAATCTGATGGTCACGGGTTCGAATCCCCGTCCCACCAAAAATACTCGCCCTTTCAGCCGTGGCGGGCGTTATAATGTGACATTCAATGCCACAAAAAAGAAAGAAAAAAAAACAATTGTCAAGCAACACTTCTAACTTTGCACTCACGAAATGATTTATTTCACTTAACAAGTTTATCTCGTAATGTAACTCTCGTATTTTACAGTATATGTACATAGCGTCAGTTTACGTGTGTATATACACACACGAGGGTTTAAAAGCTGTAACGTAAATGGTTGTAATGATTCTAAAACAAACAAGACAGTTATGAGATTGAAATATTACAAGTGTTCTATAACCAAAACTTCAATAGTAGTGTACTACAGCTTACAGGTAAACAACCAGCTAATGGACCTAGATTCAGACCGAGGCCATAATTTACAAATTACTTAGAGGTAGGCCAATCAGACCTAATAACGGGACTGACTGTCATAGTTATAACGCTATTTAGAGATTTTCGAAATTTACATATCTTACGTTTAACAGTCCTTTAATAGTTATTACACTTTTTTTTGTTTGTTAAATTCTGCACTTAAAACTACTAACAGATTTATCTAAGTTATTTGTTTTCTCGTTTACCGTTTACGACTAGCCTAACACAGTTTTATTATCTGTTACCGAATTCCCTTTGGGTGGCTCAGCGTTAAGCTTGCGGGCCTATAACTCTAAGAATCAGGATTCGGTACTCGTGGCAAACAAACAATTGAAAAATTTACCAGAAAATAGTAATACCGAATTGAAATATAACTAGTTTCGCAATTTTTTAAGGCATCCTTATTGATTATCATATTTTATCTAAACTAGAACAAAATCGTTAGTTTATTTGTTCAACTGTAATAAATGAAAAATAACTTATAAAAATTGTTAAATTTGCATTAATTTGTTTTACACAAAGCACTTGGGTAGAGAACACTACCAGTAAACCTTAGATTAATACAGTCTATTCTGCTACATTTCATCAGATCTTGGAGAACTTAAAGGTTTACTTTTTCATACAGTTCTGTTTTCCACGGCCGGTATTTAAGACGGCCCCCCAGTGGCACAGCGGTATGTCTGCGGACTTACACCGCTAAAATCCGGGTTTCGATACCCGTGGTGTGCAGAGCACCGATAGCCCATTGTGTATCTTTGTGCATAACTACAAACAAAC